GCCAGTGAGCACGGTCTTTTCAAGTGGACTTTCAGAAAGGAGATGCTGAACCATGGTTTATTACAAACGCATCCAAACTAATGGTCAGTTCGATCGATCGGTTCTTTTTTCTTCGTTTTCCTGAAGGGACAAACCTGAGCCTCGCTCACGGCATGTGAAGTGGAAAGTGGTAAGTGGATAAAAAACCTATACAATAATTGGTCAATTCAATTTTCCACGTTTGCTAATGGTAAATGGACTTGGCCAATCAGTAGTAGCAAAAAAAAAAAAAAAAAAAAAAAAACGAGCGCGTTGATTCATTCCTTTTTACTATCCACGTCCAGTAAAGTGAGGGCGCAATCAGTGCAACCAACTGGTCAAACTGCTCCCGTGAAAGACGAACGATATCCTGAAACCGCTTATCCTTATACGCGATCTTGAAGATCAGTGGAATTGGGTACGGGATCGTGGGTAGTAAGGTACCGGTTTCTGCAAATGTACAAAATGATAGCGAAATAGATAGCGATTTTTGTAAGTGGAGTAGGTGTATAGTCGCGACCAAGGGATTCTTCAGCCATTGATTTGAGAAGAAGGGATAGATACTTGAGTAGACTTTCTCTTCGAGAGCGTCTGATTGCCATTTCAACAATGAGGAGTTAAGAAAAAAAGGAAGGATAAGGAAAAAGCTGAGGAGGAAAGGGTGGGAGAATAAGAGAGAAATGCATCGCTCTTTCACGTTTCTCTTTTATTCTCGTTTTGTCCTTTCTTTTCCACTGCAAAAAGGAGTGAAAGAAAGGTGGAAAGCGCTTGTTTACTTTTTGGCTACTTCGTTTTCTACTTGCAGAGGTGGAAAATTGAGTTGACCAATTATTGTATAGGTTTTTTTTCCACTTTCCACTTTCCATGCCGTGAACGAGGCTTAGCTGGGGGAATGAAGGCGTTTGATAGATAATGGCTAGATTTTCTTCTTATTTGATGGAAAACAAATAGGCATAATAGTTTTCTCAGCCCAAAAAACGCGTCTGCCCATTTATTGTGGCGTATTTGAAAAACAAACTACAAAGGCGGTAGGTACACCCCCGCTTTTTCCATATGTGTCCCTTCCCCCCCTTTATATCTGATGTTGCTGCTCCATTTTGTACGCGTGCCAGCGCCAGATGGTCTAGGTCTTTGCAGGAGAAGGAAGGAGGGGTGTGGAAGTCGCGCATGTCAAAGATATTTTTTCCCTTGTCAATGTTCTTATAGTAGTTTGTCGGTCGTTCTTCCCGCGTGTCCGTAGATGTCAAAAACTTGGTCTGTTTGTTTCCCTTGGAATCGTGAGCTGTATAGGGGCATGGTTTAATATCAGGGCCAAGGGGGAAGAAGCAATGGAAAGATGAAGAAAAAAAGGTGCGCAATCATAAATTACTCTTCTCCCCTTGCTCTCTCTTGACATTTCTGCATGCACTCTAACGACATTACACTCCCCTTTTTTCTCTACTTTCTCATAGCTTCAAAAAAACCACCTAGACATCATCCCTCCCCCACCAGACCCCGACCATGACACACTCTGGTCCGGAACGTATTCCTCGCCATCGTCGTTGTTTTCCTATACGCCCCACCCATAGCACAGGCCTCCCCCGCCCCAGCCTCGACCCCTGCACCATTCATCGGCATTGGTAGCAGAATATCCATTGACGGCTACAGGCCTTCAAAAATAATGGAAACCGTGGCCTGTTAATTGAAATAGGCACTTGGTTCTGTCTTCAACCTCTGGCCTCCTCCGCCGCGATGGAGACAATAGGGATAACTTAAGTTTGTTAGAACCCTTAAAGTCCCTCCAGTCCTAAAATTGATGGCGAAGGTGGTATATAAGAGACCCGAGAACTCTGAGTAATAAAAGCTCCCACCTATATCAAACCCATCCGCAACAAAAACCTAAACGTTAGACGCCCTCTATTGACAAGCATCTTTCCGATTATTCTCCTTCTCTCATTGCAAGTATAAGTATGAAAGACAATGAGAGGGTGAATGTGAAGTAACAAACACGTAGACACTACACTTTGCTATCTCGCATGGGGTTTGCTCTCTTTTTTCCTTTTTTTTTGGTTTTGCAATGGGATGTGTTGCATCAATATCTACCTGCAACCAACTCATCCCACACCTTCCCTCGCTCTACACCCACTTCGTACCCCTTGCATATAGTAAGCATTGAGAGTCAAGGCACCATTTTTCTACTCAATCCTTCTTCTTCTTCTATTCTTTTTCCACAACACATGATTTTTTATTCCATCAAAACTCATTTCCACTCAATTCGTCATTCATCTACTCACCCATTGCCCCAGTCCACGGATTCCCTACCTCCGAATTTTTCTCACACTCGCATATACACAAAAACAGACCATTATCTCTCCTTTTTTTGGATTATACATCCCATTCCTTGTCTATTTTAATGACTAGCAAGTTCGTCTGCTTGACACGCAAATCGACAGTCCTCGTCGCAGCTATCACTTTGGCGCCCCTGACGTTTATCAACCTTCTTGCCTCCAACTACGCCGCCGTTATTCACGCAGCTACCATCGGTCCTAACCAAGATACCGCCATCTCTTTTCCTCGGGCGAGCACCCCTGTCGCATTTGCAGTTCATGGTCGGCAGTAGCAGGCCAAAAGACGAGCCACCAGAGATAGCGATGGTGTTGAAGACGACGGAAGCGGCGGCTTGACCCTCAGTCTCGGAAAAATTAGAGGCTATCTCAGACGAACAAGGATGTTCTGGTGACGCGATCCCACCGTATGAAAGAGCCTCATCTTCCTTCTCCCTTTGAATTTCCTTGACCTTTTCTTCTTTTAGTCGCATTACAAGGCGGGAAGTGCGCGAGTTGTTTTTTCTCGTAAAACACATATATTTTTTTGCCATTGCCTCACTGACTATCGCGCACACTTCTCGGAGTGATCTCGCGTCGGTGTGTGTCATGGACTTGTCTTTTGTCGTACGGGTCTCCATTGCATAAAAAGGTCTAATATTTCCGTTCTCTCAGCATCACTCTTTCATACTCTCCTACAGGCCTCACACACCGACACAAACAAACACAAACACAAATACGCATCGTTTCCTCCGCAGGCATCTTCACAAAACCTCAAAATGACCAAGTTCCCGATTCGCAAGCTCTCTAGTTCAGTTCCCCCTCTTGGTCCTCCTCCTCCTCCTTGCCGTCGTCGCTGCTGTCAACTCGTCATTGTCTTCATCGTCGGTGGTGGGTCTCCTCGGCGCCTATTCCCGACGAACCATACTTGTCTCCTTGTGATGGATAGGCGCGTTTCTCTCTATGAGTTCGCTTCCTTTTCTTTTATTTAACGAAGACAGCAGTCTTGTCCTCGTCTAGGCTATAAAAGCTAGCTGAGGACAATTCTCGTTACACTTTCACCGATCCACCTCATCCTCCCATCGGTAGCTTGGGCAGCTGTCTTTTTGGGGTACCTCGTAGAACACTGTCAAAAGGATATATCGGCCAATTAGACAAGCTCAGTTCAATGGGCAATTTGAACTCTGATCCTCCACAGGATACCCTTGAAATAAATCGAACGCCGGAAATTAACAGTTCAAAAAACTGAACGTGCCGAAGAAAAAAGGAAATATATAAATATCCTAGCGCAAAAAATAAATAAGGTCAAGTTACTGTGGGTGCCAATTGAAGGAGAAGAGAGAAAGGTGATGGGAGAAGGATGGGGTGGGGGGGAAGGGAAAGACATGTATTTCTGGATACTTGGAATAGCCTCAATTTTTTACCAAGAGAGACAATGGAGGACGGTGCAGTGGAAAGAAGAAAAAAAAAGTGGGACGATGTAAATCGGATTGGCCCAAAGAAGTGGATGACAGGTCTGGATGAAGAAGTGAGGGATGTTGAGCTGCGCCTTGGAAGCTTATTCTTTTTTTTTTCTTGTTTAGAGAACGTCTTTCTTTCCTTGACTCAAGTCTCCTCGTTCAATCGCACACCTCATGTGGGTATAATGTGACACAAACAACTCAAGTGTGGGGGTTATACTAGGGTGCACGAAAAACGGGAGGAGGTACGATGGTAGGAAGGGGTAAAATGTTCATCCTAACATCGGAAGGGTTGAATATTGTTCCTGAAAGCAGCGCGGTAAGGGAATACGTTTTCTCGGCACTGTCGAGATTCAAAAGGAACCAAGGCAGTGGAGGGGGTGTGTGAAATGGAAGAAAAAAGGAGAGGGGTAAGGGGAAAGAGGAATATAGCCGTTGCATCCATCCAATGAGATGGAGTGCCAACTTCCCTCCCCCAAGAATCGACGCACCAGACGACATTACGGAGACCGATGGCCGATCGCCTTTTTTTTTTTTTTTTTTTTTTATATTGCCCAATCCATTTTGAGCAGACAATTGAGAAAAAAGAGTAAAACGCTTTTTTTGCTTCGAGAGTTCAGAAAGAGAGAAAAAAGAAGGCAGGGTGAATGCGCAATAATCTTGTTTGTTTTTATGAGCGGAGTGAGAGACTGATAAGGGCAAAAAAGAAAAGTGATCGAAGAATTGAAAATGTGCGACCGGGCTTTGCAGTTTTGCGAGAATTGTCGCAGAAATGAAAAAAATGAGGAGGGTGTATGATGACATATCGTCCCATGCACTGTACCTTTCATTTTCTTTCTTCGTTCATTGACGACGGAGAGAATGTCATTCGCGCGATTGGGTTCTTATTTCTTCTTTGGTGGCGAGAAAGGGCGAGAACGTTCTTCTTCTTTCGAGCTCGATCGTGGGTAGAAGGTTGACGTGTATCAGCATGTCATATCATCATCGACGCTTAATTGTGGGATGATGCCTCATACAACATCAACATATCCCAGACTTACAACGGTGAGAGTCCAACGGCGCGTTGCCCATTCGTGGACAAATCAATTTTTTTTTCTCATGCCATAAAAAGGACTCGGCCCTCCTCTCTTTTTCTTTTTCTTCTCCATTCATTCATACACATCAAACCACAACACAACCCACCACAACACACTCTCATCAACCAACTTTACATTCAACAATGGCTGCCGTTCCCAACTTTTTCGCTTTGACCGCCAAGGACAAGAAGCACCAGGAGATCTCCATGAAGGAGTTCGAGGGCAAGGTCGTCCTTGTCGTCAACGTCGCCTCAAAGTGCGGCTTCACCAAGCAGTACGCCGGTCTCGAGGAGCTCTACAAGAAGTACAAGGATGAGGGCTTCGTCATCCTCGGCTTCCCCTGCAACCAGTTCGGCGGCCAGGTAAGCTTTTACTTCTTATCTACACGCACGTTACATATTCACTTCACTGCGCAGCTTGCCTATGGCTTCTTGGAGCATGTTGGCATCATTACTTCTCGTTGTCCGCGTTTGACGAGTGGTTCGTTATTGTTATCGTTGCGAGTGAATGATGTCTACCGGTACACACCATGCGACGGTGGCAACGACAGTAACAATATCAAAAGGATTCTCGTTCTCGGACGTTTTTCTTCCCTCGCTCAGTATGACCGATTCGGTCATGGACGCATGATGCGCCTCCCCCAGCTCATCTTCCCAATAGGCGCGCTGACACCTTTTTTTCTTTTCTTCTTTTCCCTTCTCTCTCAACCCTCTTGTCCATAGGAACCCGGCGATGAAGAAGGTACGGTGACGATTGAATGGCTCACTTTCTTTTTAAAAACGTTTACATCTGGGTTCATTACCAAGCGCTGTAAGCATGTCTTGGCGCTCCATTATCACAAGGAATTGACACTAACCCTCTCTCTTTTGCACACACCTACAACCTCAATAGAGATCGAGTCGTTCTGCCAGCTCAACTTTGGAGTGACGTTCCCTTTGATGGCCAAGATCGATGTCAACGGCAACAACGAGGACCCCGTCTACAGCTACTTGAAGGCCCAGAAGAAGTCGTTGATGATGAGCCGTATCAAGTGGAACTTTGAAAAGTTCTTGATCGCCAAGGACGGTACCGTCTATGAGCGCTATGCCTCTGTCTCCACCCCCGAGGCCATCGCCAAGGATGTCGAGAAGCTCCTCCGCGCCTAAGAGTCTGGATTCGACTCGACAAATAACCACATCACCTTTCACCTTCACCTTCACCACCATCATCATTACCACCAGCGAAACTGCCAACCTTTTAGCGAGTAGTTTGCAGCTGGATTGACGACAGGGTGCAAGTGGCGACAATTATTTCTTGTACATACATAACCATCGAAAAAAATAATAAAAAAAACGAATAATCCAGCGCACGCATGAAAGTACACACTGACTGACAGGAGCGAGAGAGTATGGTCCTCAAAGACGCTTATCTGCATGACATATTTCACACCCACATACACCCCATCCAAACACGTTCTTATGGCATTGTTGTATTGATTGTTGTTATTTTTTTGTAAGAGAAGGAGAGAATATACCAAAATGCCAAATTCCAATCCGGCTGTAGAGAAGATATCAACCGAGTCGGACTCATGGCCTGGCGACTATTGCTAGCCATGCTCTTCCACCCCCACATAATGTCCAGCGAGTAGATAATATAAATATTTTCTACCCTACCAGCCGAGCGACATGGACCCAATGTGGGATCTTAGTACAGCATCAAGGGGAGTGGAATGGTTGATTCGAAAGATCATCTGAGTCGGCGGTTATTTATGTCGGCGGGGGTTGGTGGCTTGGGTTGGTTAGTATGAGGAGGGGGAAGAAAAAAAAGAAAAAAAAAAACTTCCCTTTTGTGACATTTTTGACAGTCCCCACCAAGACACGCTCACCTTCTGATCATTTGGACCTGTTTGGCGATACGACCATTTTCCATCCTTTGTTTCCCGACTCCTTACAACAAACAACAAGCAAGCAAGCAAACAAGCATACCGTCTGCCGTTTAACCGTTCGAGTGCATATAACAAAAGACATAATATCTACAGGACGAGACAATGATCAGCGCATCATCATCGTTCAGCCGTGCAGGAAGAAGGGTCCTGACGACAACCACCACCACCTCAAACAGTCGTCACCTCTGCACCCTCCTCCACAACACTCGTTCCACCACCGCGCGTATCCCCTCTATCACCACCATCAAGTCTCTCACAGCAACAACAACAACATCATCATCAACAGCGAGGTCATGGTACACAACAACACCAACCCTCTTCCGTAAATTCGAATCCCACCACGACCACGCCAACATCCACAACCCCTCCCCCTCCTCTACCAAATCCGCCCCAGCCTCCGCCTCCGCATCAGGATCGCAGGAACAAGAAGACGACGGCGAGATCCCTCCCAAGGACGCTGTAAACAAGGCCCTCCTGACAGATGCCGACGATCTGATGGTCGGGAACGAAGGTCTGGAAACCATTGATCCCAAGGACTTTCCCGAGTTGTATCCCCATGAGCATGAGATTGAAGGGTTGAGTCAGGAATCTCACCCAGATAATGAGCGGGATTTCGAAGGGTTCCGGGAGGGTGAGGATGTGGAGATCGAGGTACAGGAGATGGAAGAGAGAAGGTCGGTGCTGTTGTCGGATAAGCCCCGGTCGGAGGATGAGTTCTCGTGGTTCGTGGATGAGTCTTACCCCGACAAGGCTACCACTGGCCAGGAAGAAGAGTTTATCCCCCTGTGGCAAAAGAACGCTCAACGCTCGCCTGATGGCGCTATTGACGAACAATCGGGAGCTGGAGAGCCAGAATACACACCAGACTCGATCCCGGGGCTGGTGAAGCTGTTGGAATCGGAGCGGGCAAAGAACATCAAAGTGATTGATATGCGAGATAAGTGCGATTGGACCAATTGGATGGTCATTGCTGAGGGCTTGAGTGAGCGCCATTTGGGGAATGTTGCTGATGAGGTCTACAGTGCCGTAAGTCCCCTCTTCCCTCCACTTTTTTTTATGCATGTTTTCTATGTGTGCATTTTGTTTTTGTAAGGCCGTATTGGGCAATGCCGATCCGGATTTCTTGTCTTTTCTCCGTTTGCGGAGATAATAACTACATCATACGGACTTGACACCTTAACTCTTCCTCATTTCTCAATCCTCTTCCCTCTTCAATAGTTGAAGAAGACATCCCCAAGCACAAGCCCACCAGTCATGGAAGGACGCGACACCTCGGATTGGGTAGTGATCGACGCTGGATCCGTCGTGATCCACTTTATGACCCCCGAGGCCCGGAAAGAACGTGACCTCGAAGGATTGTGGGCTTCGGTCAAGAACCCGTTGAAGATGAAGGATGTGGATGAGATCTCGTGGGAGGATGTGAAGGGCAAGATGACCAAGAGTTGGAAGGAGGATCACGGACGGTCGAGGGGAGAGGATGGCAAGAGGGGCCGGAGGGGTGAGAGGGATATTCCTTTGTCGGATGTCGTCAAGTGGTAGATGGAAGTGCTTACTTTTTTTTTTTTTTTTGCAGATGGGTGGAAGAGAGAGTGCGTGGAAAAAAAACAAATACTAAAGTATTGCTCGATCGCATAAACCGTTCCTTGTTGTCGTCATATTGAACATTTTTTTTTTATTCGTGCCGTTGTGTGAAAAGCTCTGCACTGTTTGATATCCTGAAAGATCCATGGACATGTAAGAAGCAGCGCCTGATGACTACGCCCAAAAGTAAATGTTGGCAATAATACAAAGAAGCGTGAGGAGGACAGTTTGCGTAAGGATCTAGAAGATGATCACAAAGGAAAGAAAAAAATGTCAGTTTTCTTTCTGTCTCGGCAAAGATGTGCTGTCCTATGTCCTTGCGAAGCTCCGATCCTGTCGACGGTTGACTTACAAAGTACTTGAACTTTGGATCTATGAGTTGTAAAAATATCATGAAGAAGAGGGTAAATGACAGTGCTCGTTAGTACTTCCGAATAGCAAAAAAACGTAGAAAGCAAAGGCGTCCATGACTTTCGGTTCCACAGTGAAAAAGAGCGTACCCAAGTCGCCGTTTCTCCATGCCCTGAGCTGATATCATCCGAATGTCCCGAGGAGAAGGTAATTGAAAAGAGAACGAAAAAACAGTCAGTACAACGCGTTGGAAGTCCATCATCATCCCCCATTTTTTCGAATTGAACAACGGCAAGCGAACTAACTGCCTTTCTCGTACCAAGTGTCCTAGGCATAATGCGAATCCAGTGATGATAAGGCCCAGCATGAAATGCGCTCCTGACTTGTGAGTGTTGATAATTGAGAACAGAAGCGTCAACGACACAAAGACCAGCACCGTGATGCCTAAAATGAAAAGAGTTGTTTCCAATAAGAATTGAGGAGTCAGCAGGTTATTCTGTCAAGGAATGTAGCTCCAGGTGAATTCTCTTCTGGGACGCAGGTTTGCCCTGTTCCTGTTCGTGAGTAGTCCCTGAGAAAATTGAAAGGGGATGTCCGTTGCTTTGCGCTGTTGTCATGCCCCTGAGGTATCGTTCCGTACCTGCTCCCTGCTCGATCATCCGTTCCTATTCAAGCAAGAATCGTGGTTTGAAAAGAGACGGTCAGCGTGTTTTTCGAGATAGAAGTGTAAGGTTTTCGATGTACTGTACAGCAAGTCATCTGGCCAGGTCTTCCTTTTTCTTTTTGTTTCGACTATTCGCCCCTCTTCACGTGTGTGTTTTGGTGGATTGAGATGTCGCCACACGACTGACTGACTGACTGACTGACTGACTGATGGAATATTTTTTTATCCTTGATTTGGCGGGAAGAGACAACAGTCAGGTCAGGTACTATCACTTTTTTGTGCCAAGACTTGTTAAAGCAAAGCTTTATCCCCCACTCGGAATCCTTTGTCCATGAAATAGAGTATCTTAGACGTGTGGTTCCCCCTGCTGTCACGAAGAGAGTCGGCGCTATGGCAGGTCTTATATTTTTGAGGACACAAAAAGGGGGCAGGTTAGGTAGGTAGGTAGGTAGGGTTTACCTGGTCAGTTGAACCTCCGAAGAGGACGTCATGCGAGGACCAGGACTGGGAGTCGTTGTCGATGGGTTGGTAGGATGACATTTTATAAGTTTAGGGTGTGAGAGAGTGAAAAAAAAGTAGCTTGGAGTGTGAAGTAGAGGAAAGGAAGAGGGTTTGAGAGTAAGAAGAAGACGAAGAATGAGCCTGTTGTGTGTGTGAGTGGCGTCGAGCGGAGAGGGGAATGGTGAGGGTGAGGGTGATGACGAGAAAGCGGGTCGAGAGAAGGCGAAATAGAAAAACGAGTGAGAGGCGAGAAAGTAAGGCATGAATCACGTGATTGATCAGGTTGGGACGGCTGTTTCCCTTTGGATGGCTGGCTGGCTGGCTGGCCACTTCAGGTCGACGTGTCAAGTCCAGGCAACAGCAGCGTGCGCCAAATTAGTGACCCTAAAGGAAAGGACATCATCCCTCTTTCACTTTCACATCCCTCTCTTTTTCTCTCTTCTCTCTCTTCATCCTTCGTCCTTCCCATCGCTCTAATCCTCCTCTTCTTCCTCCTCTTCTGCGCCTACACACGCTCAACTCATCTCCTTCCCTTCTTCCTTTCTCTCGCATCCTTCCTCCCTAGCTGCGATTGCGTGCTGAACACACACCCACACACCCCTCACCCGTTCTCATCAGACGCGCGATCAACAACACTCCTTTACTCCCACTCAACCACCTTATTTCACACTTCTCGACTGATTACTCTCCTTCATGATGAGTTACTCTAAAAGAGATGAAGACTCTGGTAATATACATCACTCACTCTCACACACATCTCATCCCGCTGTTTATCAAGAAGGGAGAAAAGACAGTGCACCCTGCTGTAAAAATAGATGAAAGATGCAAGGCGGATGATGAAAAGTATAAAACTAATCGCAATGGCCACGTCGCTTCTACTCACAATAGGCAGGATAGGCTATCACCACTACTTTGACAAGACGACTGTGCTGCAGGAGGCACGCGTCTTCAACGAGTCGCCCATCAATGCCCGTAAATGCCGTGCACTCCTCACAAAGATCCTCTACCTTATCTCCCTGGGAGAGACCTTTGGCACCACCGAGGCCACCGAGCTCTTCTTCAGCGTCACAAAGCTCTTCCAGTCCAAGGACGTAAGTGTCTTGATAAGGTCATTGGTGTTGTTATTCGTGTTTAAGATCTATCCCTCAGCAACAAAACAACGAACAACAAAGGACAAACGAGACACGTATTACGTGGCGTTCTAAAGAGCCGGACCTGATCCTTTGTCGATTTTTCTAATGAGAAAGTCGCGCGCCTATCCCAGCAACAAAGAGACCTAACAGATCCCATTGCTTTTTTTTCTTCTTCTCTCTTTCAACTTGTTCACTGTAATAGTCAGCTTTGCGTCAGATGGTCTACCTGGTTATCAAGGAGCTTTCGACTGTTGCCGAGGATGTCATCATGGTCACCAGCAGTTTGATGAAGGACATGCAGCCCACCTCCGAGGTCATGTACCGCGCCAATGCCATCAGGGTTCTTCGCAAGATCACCGATGTAAGTTCCTCGTTTTGCCTTATTATTCATATCGATCGACACTTGAGATCTGCCTTTGTTTGAAGAGGCACACTGACGCATATTTAATTGGTTCACTTTTATATAGGCATCAATGTTGCAGGGATTGGAGCGATTCTTGAAGGCGGCTATTGTGGACAAGAACGCCAAGGTTTCATCGGCTGCATTGGTTTCGTCCTACCACTTGTACGGCATTGCTCGTGAGGTCGTGAAGCGTTGGGCGAATGAGGCACAGGAGGCCATTAACGCCAAGCCCCAGTCGGCTGTCTCGGCCGCCACCTCATATGTCACCTCGTTCGGTGGCAGCGCGCCCCAGACCTACACCGCCGTCTCCAACTCCAACATTGTTCAGTACCACGCCCTCGGTCTCTTGTACGCCATTCGCCAAAAAGATCGCATGGCCGTCTCCAAGTTAGTCCAGAACTATGCTGCAAAGAGTGGCATGAGCGGCTCTGTCCTCCGTTCGCCCTTTGCTCAGTGTCTCTTGGTCCGCTACGCCTGCAAGGTCATGGAAGAGGATCCTAGGTAAACCATTGATCATTATCTCATGCTCTGTGCTTGGTATTATTGTATGGAGCATCCCCCTAACAGCGTGGATTTTCAATGTATTATAATAGCTCGACCCGCGCAGTGTACGAGTTGCTGGAGGGATGGTTGCGCCACAAGAGCGAGATGGTCAACTTGGAGGCTGCTAAGGCTATTTGCGAAATCAAGGATGCTACAGCCAAGGAATTGTTCCCCGCCGTCACCACCCTTCAAAACTTCCTCTCCTCCGGTAAACCCAGCATCAAGTTCGCCGCCATTCGCGCCTTGAACAAGCTGGCCATGACTCAGCCCGCTGCCGTCGCCCCCTGCAACATTGACATGGAGAACATGATTACCGACCAGAACAGGAGCATTTCGACGTTTGCCATCACCACCCTCTTGAAGACCGGTAACGAGGCCTCAGTCGAGCGTTTGATGAAGCAGATCAGTGGATTCATGTCAGAGATCACGGACGAGTCCAAGGTCTTGGTCGTCGAGGCTGTTGGCTCGCTCTGCATCAAGTTCCCCGCCAAGCACCACGTCATGTTGAGCTTCTTGAGCGGTGCTCTCCGTGATGATGGCGGCTATGACTTTAAGCGCGCCGTTGTCGAGGCTATCTTCAACTTTGTCAAATACATTCCCGAGTCCAAGGAGGCTGCTCTCTCACACTTGTGCGAAATCATTGAGGACTGCGAGTACTCCAAGCTGTCGGTCAAGATCTTGCACTTGCTCGGAGTCGAGGGTCCCAAGTGCCCCCAACCCACCAAATATATCCGCTACATCTACAACCGCGTCATCCTTGAGAACGCCGTTGTCCGTGGAGCCGCCGTCAGCGCCTTGGCCAAGTTTGGTGTCAATGTTGAGGATGAGGCTGTCAAGCAGAGCGTCAAGGTTCTTTTGAGCCGCTGCTTGGATGATGCTGACGACGAAGTCCGTGACAGAGCCACCATGTACCTTAACGTCATCAATACTGGCGACGAGAAGGGCTATGTCAAGGATGGTATGTTCTACCCTTTCTTTGCGCCTCAAATATGTTCATTGCACTCGAAGTCATAAGGCAACAACGCCTAACAAGCATTTTTTTTTTTTTTTGGTGGAAATAGATTCGACGTATGCTCTTGCTTACCTTGAGCGCCAGCTTCTTACGTATGTCTCCAACCCCGAGATGGCCGAGACTCCCTTCGATTTGTCGGCTATTCCCAAGATTTCCCGTCAGGACGAGCAGGAGCGTGGCACACAGGAATTAGGCGGCGCTCTCCCCAGCCTCGGAGGACGTTCGAACACGCCCCCTCATTCTGGAAGCGCCTCGAACGGCGCTGGCTCGCGCCCCGCTATCTCGAGCGCACCCTCTCTGGATCAGCAGGCATTATATGCCCAAAAGTTGGCCGAGGTGCCCGAGTTTGCCTCGTTTGGACCTTTGTTCAAGTCGACTGCCAAGCCCGTCGAGTTGACCGAGTCCGAGACCGAATACGCTGTCTCTTGCGTCAAGCATGTCTTCTCTCACCATGTCGTCTTCCAGGTACGACTTGTCTCCTTTGTTTCGTTCGAATATTTTGTGCATGATCTGAAGGTACACTAACATTTTTTCTTCTTTCTGATATTGTAGTTTAACATCAAGAACACTTTGAACGACAGTGTGTTGGAGGATGTGAACGTGTTGATGACCCCCGATAACGATGATGTTTCGTTGGTGGAGAAGGTATTGATCCCTGCACCCCAGCTCGTTTACGATGTTCCCGGTGTCGCCTATGTCGCCTACGAGAGAACCGTTCTCGACGACTACCCCGAATGTAAGTTTCTTCACCGTCTAGATTGTTTCGGAAATGCTCAAGTCATACATGGTCAATTGCTCCGGTACTAATTTAACCTTCTTCATAATAGGCACGTTCACGAACGAGCTCAAGTTTATTGTCAAGGATTGCGATCCTCAGACAGGAGAGCCCGATGAGGAAGGATTTGAGGATGATTACCAGGTCGAGGAAGTTTCGCTGGCGATTGCCGACTTTGTCCTACCGTCATACATTCCTAGCTTTAACAAGGCCTGGGAGGAGTTGGGCGACGAGAATGAGGTTGTTGAGACTTTGGCATTGACATCTTCACCAGGGCTCCAGGAGGCGTGCCGGGACTTGATTGCGTTGTTGGGCATGCAGGCATTGGAGAACACGGGCAATGTGCAGGGCTCGAATGTGCACACGATGATCTTGTCGGGTATCTTTATTGGCGGTGTCCGTGTGTTGGCGCGCTGCCGCATGACCTATGACTCTTCAACGGGTGTGACCTTGCAGCTTGGCATCCGCTCTGCCAATGCTGAGGTCAGCCAGGTGATGATTGGCGCCATTGCTTAAGCAGACATTATATCATGGAGCATGGAGTAGTAGAGAGGGAGAGGAAGATAGTTTAGTTCACGACTTTTTGTTACAAATATTAAAAACGATATACGGGATGCATGATTGACCCATGGTGGAGAGTACAGAGAAATGACTACATGTCACATGATGGTCGTGCGATACTCATTGTTCATTGGTCACACTCCTTGATGATGAACTTTGGCCCTTATTTAGTCTCCTCCTCCTCCTCTTCTTCTTTACTTGACTTGCCTTCCCTGACAGACAGCAGCCATCTCCACTTCCTCCCTTCCATGACCCTTTGCCAAAGCTGATGTAGCCTCACTCTGCCTTCCTTTCCTTTTTTCTTTTTTTTTTTCTTGTTTACTCGCTCGGTGCTTGGCTTCACTCCGCCCTGCCCCCAAGTCGCCCTTTCCATTCTTTCTTTTTTTCGTTCGCCCGGTCTGGTCTGCTCATGAGCCCTCGTTTCCAAGCCCAGTCGCCGCATTGACTTCCCGAACTCAAAGCTTACACGAACCAAAACAACCGCAACAACAACGACAACAGCAAACCAACTCGAGTCCCGCAAAAAAGCTAAAACGACAGCACGCAAGAGTCTCTTCTACTCTCGTTCTCTGGTTCGCCACCAAAAAGCAAGAACAACGACTTTTGTCACGGAACGACACGCACGTTCTCACCTGGGAAACCAACAGGAGGAGACGATACTTAACCCACCAAGTGGTAAGCTTTTTTTTGTTGGTGTTGTCCGTGTGGTGACCAAAGTGTCTCGTTTTCGGGGACGGGGTGTCGGTCAACAACTCAAAAAAAAATCGTTATTTGCTGCAGGTCTTGTGTGTGCTCCTCTTGCCTTGGCTAACAATGCAAACAATCATTGTCTTTTTCCCTTTGCCCTTTTTGAACCATGGACACAACAGACGATTAGGAACACGTAAAGACAAGCACGCAATACACACTCTCACACATACAGTCAGTCAACAACATACAACAAACCACACCGCAAAAGAAGCAGTAATTATAACAATACAACCAAACTCATCGACGCCTGCTTGGGAATCAACAGCGCCCATCAGGAAGAAAGAACCACACACCCTACCTCCCAACCAACCCAGTATCAACCATACTTACTCCGGACCAGCCCAACACAACCAAGATACACGTACGCCCTTCAGCCTGACATGTACAGCCACCACCAACCTCAGCAGCTGAGCAACCTCTCAAAGTCCCTCCCACCGACGCCAAGTCAACTCCATCCTGCAGTCCTCCACGAGACCGACCCTGTCCCGGACGACTATTTTGGCGAGTCCGAGGAGGTCTCATTGCCATTCCCTATCAAGACCATCGTTGCCGACCCGCAGACCGGAATCAGTCTGACCTTGATTTCAGCCCTCGGCGCAGGCTCCTATGCAGTCGTCTATCTCGCCAAGGAGGTCGCCTCAGGATCCCTCTACGCGCTCAAGTGTCTCAGCAAGGACAGGCTGACAGAGGACGAAGTGGCTGTCCAAAAGAACGAGGCAAGTGGGTTTCCCGCATATTTAATATTTTTGAATTCTCCCCTATATGCCAGATCATACTAGGTAAGATTATTGACACCTTTTTTCAATGGCTCCCGGTCCTCTCTCCCTTGACCCCTTTTAGGTGGTCATTCATACATCCCTGCCCAAGCACAGAAACATTATCCACCTGTTCAACATGTTCGAGACCACGCAGCACTTGTTCCTGCTACTCGAGTACTCTTCAGGAATGGACATGTATCAGTGGATCAGCATGCGAGCCGACAGGTCCGACCCTGCCTCGGGAGAGCCTTACTCTCTCACGACACGCTATGTTGTCATAAAGACAGTATTTGATCAAGTGCTGGAGGGCGTCGCGCAGGTGCACCAACGTGGTATTGCCCACCGCGATCTCAAGCCGGAGAACTTTTTGATCGAGTTTGCCGATGGCCAATACATCGTGAAGATTACCGACTTTGGACTGGCGACGACCGACACGGAGAGCGATGAGTTTGAGTGCGGCAGCAAACCGTACATGAGTTTCGGTAAGCTGCAGTGCGGTGGTTTACATTCTGGTTGTGTATCGCTCTCTTATGCGAATCGATCAATGTTCGCTAACCCTGTCTCATTTCTTGGTACATCGACATTGATAGAGTGCCGGAATGGTCTGGAGAAGATGTACAATGTTCAGATGGCAGATATTTGGTCACTTGGAATTATTCTTATTAATCTTCTCTACCATCGCTGCCCTTGGTCGGACCCTTGCCCACAGGATTCTTATGCCTTCTCCGAGTTTCTAAAGAGCAGGATCGACTTTCTTCAAGGACGGTTTGAGGACATGCCAGGACCGGTGGCAAGATGGCTTGGCCTGCGTGCGTTTGCCTTTGATTCGACCAACAAGACCAAGTGGCGCCGCACCCGTCCGACCATGGACGAGTGGCGCGAATGGATGGTCGACTTTGTTCCCAGGATGCTCGGCCAGATCGACTCGGCATTGAATGACGACGACGAGGAGGACTATAATTGTGAGGAGGAGTATCGCGCCTATTTGGCCTACTATGAGGACGATATGCTTGAACGAGAGGTCGAGGGAGATGAGATTGAAGATGACGACAGCGACGACAAGGATATGGATAACCAGGTCGTGCCCATTGCGATCCAGTCGTCTTCTCTTAAAGATAAACAGCACTCGCTCTTGGACCCTGGTCGCGCTTACGCTTCGTATCATGTTCCCAGTGATATCCGGAATCAGCATTCGTTCGCCTCGTCCTCTGCTCCAAAGTTCGACTCGTCCGCATTCTACCAGCCTACGCGTCTTCGTCAGGAATCTTGGTCGGATGCCATCGATATGGAAGGAACCGAGGATGCCGAGATGGACTTTTCTGCGCCCATCCTATTTGAAGAGTCAGAGGATGACGATATCAACCGGATTGAGAGCGACGATGATGACTCTGGTGGTCTCGCTGTGGCACTCCCAGACGACTTTATCGACCCTCTTCCCGACAAGAGCGCCTCGTCATCTGGGCGGCAAACACCCACGCCAGCAATGACGCAACTCACTTTCAACACCGAGAAGCGACAGCTACCCGCGCATCTGCGTTTTGATCTGGAATCACCCATCTCGCCATCGTCGCAGGACTCTGCCAAAAAGGCCGCTGGAAGAGGGTCACCCGGATTGGAGAACATTGACATCAACACTCTGGTGTTTATCGAGCCAGACGTCTCACGACTCCCGGTCGATCAAAACCAAATCGGCTCTATCGCATCCTCTCTTCCGTCCACCAGCCATATGGAAGCCGCCATGAGCACGGATTCCATCAAGAACAACGACCGCGTCCATTTGAAGCAGCACATGAGGAAGCCAGCACGCAATCTCCAGGATGTCAAGGCAGCCCCTTTTGTATTTCCTCCGCTCAAGACTCCTACATCTGGCAATCCTCTGATGATCGAAAACCACATCAAGGAGAAGGATACGAAGGATGTTACTCCACAACTAGCGCTAGCACCTAAGCCTCAGCCTTTCATGGATTCGACACCCCAGCATGCTCCCAAAACATCTACAACAGGTACCGCTAAGCCCGGTCCCTATGTTATACCCAAACGGTCGCAGCTTGGTCCCTGGGCTGGTCAGGCTCAAGAGTCAGGATCCAGGACCTCAGAACCCAATTCCTTCGGCGCAGGTCGCATTTTCAACTGGAGGAAGAGCCATCACCGTGGTGGCAGCTGGACATCGACCGAAAACGCGCGGGAAGGCCGCCGAGGTTCTGCGACGCGATATACTAACGATGGGCCAAGGACGAGCTCTGGAAAGTGGCGTGCTCGTGTGGAGGATCGCGAGGATGGACACGTTGGACTGCCCCCTCGTGTTGAGAACAAGTTCCGCCCCAGATACCGCCAGGGTCAAGGCCAAGGTCAGGGACGTCGTTATCCGCCTCAAGTGGGATCTGCAGCCCTCCCACCGACTCCACCAATTATGCACATGGGATTCGGAGGCCCTCGATCGCGCCATCAGAGTCGGTCTGGAACTGTATTTGACCCTCCTGCAACAAACGATCCAGATTCCCGTGGATCGCTTAGCAGAGATGGTGGACTCAGAGATGCCCAGCAGTCCTCGCAAGACCATGCACCACGCTACGAAAACAGCCAACTTCGGATGAACGGAAAGCCGAACCCAGGAGCCACTCCTTCGCGACTCGCTGGTCAACGCAACAAGAGTCTTGTGGATTTGCGCGGTATGGGCGCAACCAACCAACCCTGGCGGCAGTCGACTGGATCCAACGAACCCAGCTCTGCGCCACAGGGTCCTTTAAGTGCTTCGACAAAGCCGCGACCTCAGAATGGCAACGGTTTTGATTCTGTACCACGCAGAAACGGTCCAGGCACTCACCCTCTAGAGCAGAGCTTTCCGAACCCCACCTCGACCAAGACGCGTCCGGCTGAGAAGGGACTAGGATTGGCTGATGGCGATGCAAAGGACAATGTCTACCATCCGCCGCATTGGCATGAGCGCAAGTCAATCCCTTCCGGCTATTCCAATCAATCGCGACGACCGTCGAGTGGATACGAGTCTGATGTCGGCAGCCGACACCGTCACGACACCTCTGGATCGCTTAGCTCCCTTGGCTCCTTGTCCAAGAGCCAGAGCGGATCAAGAGGTGGAGTGCGCCCAGGCGCAGGGGCAGGAGGAGGGTATCCAGGACTCAACATGACTTCGCCCCCGCTGGACCGCAAGCAAGTGCAGCAACGGACGGCCGATACTGCCACAAATTGGAGGTCTATGACTGGAACACAGGACTCTTCGTCTCGTCACACCAAGAAGGGATCATCTGAATCTGGCACAATGTCAATGGACTCTGCGTCGTCGTCTTTGATTTCGCTGAACCTGTCGCGAGCTGAAGGCTTAGGTTTGACGGACTCGCCGTCGATGATTTTGACGCCACCGACGCCGAATGTGAACCGCAAGTCGGAGTTCTTGTCGGATGATCCAGTTCCTCCTGTGCCACCGATTCCCTCCATGGCCCATGAGAATTCCGCAGATAGGTCTGTAGCAGCGAATGGCGAAGCAAACAAGAAGATTGTCAAGCCCGGGACAATGGCAGGACTGGGCAGCATGTTGCGAGGACTGGTCGCCTACAACAAGAATATCAAGGTTGCAGGCGAAACGACAGGGGTACCAGAGTCGGCAGACTTTGAACCCAGAGCATTGGGAGCCTCTAACCTTAACGCCCGTTCCGACCGCGATGCAAACATGGATCGTTGATCCTCTTCCCTGCCGTCGTATGTGTTATGTTGTCTCTTTTTTTTTCCCCTTCATACCTTCTTCGCCCCATGTAGTTACTTAATTTCCTTAGCAAAACTTGCCCACGCCTGTTTCAACCGTTCACGACTTCACTATTGTTTGATGCTCGTTTTTTTTCTTCAGCTTTTTTCTTTTGGCTTTTTTTTTTTGGACTTTCTTTTTCTTTTTTCTTTTTTTTTTTTGGCTTTTTTTCATTTTCCTTTCGCGCATCATGCAATCACTTTGACTTATCTCAGTATTTTTTGCACCTTTTATTTCTATTGTTGTTCGCGCACACGCAAACATACAATGATTAAAAAACGAACTGTAGCCTCGTGGATCCACACTGGGGAAAGAAAAAAAATCCTGTACTAAAAATGACATTGTGATCCTAGTAACAAAACGACAAGACGTGCCACCCAATCATGATGCTTCGCCTCACTAGTAAAAACGTCGTTTTTTTTTCCTACGCCATGATCTCGTAAGAAAAGAGAGCCTTTGTTGCGCGAAGAAAAGTGAGAGGGAAAAAAAGCAGCACTCAGATTCAATTTGCTTTGGCAAACACCAGATGGGGTCAAGGTATGTCAATAGTGTTAGTGAAAAACATGGACGTGCTTGTAGGAATTTGAGCCATATTGCGGCGACAACGGCGTGGTGATTTTCTCTCCTCCACCTTCCATGCGCTTTCACCATCTTCCGTTTTTTCTTTTACTCTCTCAATCACTTTGTCTTATTTTCGTATTTGTACTTATTTCTTGCCTTTCTTCTTCTCGAACTTTCAACACTTATTTACATCGCATCAAAGCTTGACTATGTGCGATGATAGGGATGGTCTTTCTTTGGTCGAGGGCTTGTTTTTGGCGCGGTCTTTTTCTCCCCGAAACGGATTCTGATCCCGGCAATGACAATGACAACGATAAATCAATGCCGATGAGCCTTTTGGAACCACAACGCTGCCGCCGCTATTAATATGACCTTTAGGAATGCGGCGATCCCTATCTTATCTTTTTGGAAAAGTCCCTCAAAATCACCTCCACCTCCTTTAGCAACGAAAATAAGAGCAAGAAGGTAGAGGTTTTTGTTACAGAATAAAACGAAACGATTTTTTTTTATTTTGGATTAGAGGTATCAAGGAACTAGGTGTTCTTACCCTTCTTGCCCAGGCTCCACAGTCATTATCGTTCCTAGAGTGAGATGCTTTGGGCTTTAATGTTGGAAAGGGGTGTTTGCTGAGGAAGATGCAAAATTTTTGTCATTGAACTACTTTTTTGTTTTGTCGGTCCTGGTGGCTGCGTACTGAGAAGAGACGGGCGAGGGCGAACAAAAACAAACCTTGAAATCGCCTTTTCTGTGTGCACGTGCCTGAGGAGGGGTTTTCTCTTTCTTCTTCTCTCTTCTCCGGGCCCTCGCGCTCTGCACCCGCCTTTATCGTTATGGACTCCACTCGCTGATTCAGCGGCATTTGGTAAGATAAAAACTTCCCTGCATTTTCAAGCAACAAATAAAAAGGAGGGTGTGTGTGTGTATGAGTGTTGTTATTTCTTTCCTCCCGCCCCTTTTCACTCCTTCGTCCCTTTCTTTGTGAAGGTTGGTGGATGGGTGTTTGCTTCGTTTATTTTCATCATTCTTTTTTTCTCGTTTTCTTTCGGGGTGCTCGTTTACGTCTCCTTTTCTCTTGTTCCTTAATGTTTCCTGAGCGGTCCGCGGTTGCGTTCGCGTCCTTTTTTTTTTTTTTTTGTTCCTTTCCTTCTTCCACACTCCTCCACCTCCTTCGCCTTTAACTGCTCAACCATGATTACATCTCATCACACGCGACAAAAAAATAATAATAATGGGAACACCTGCAGCGTAGTGGCGCAAACTTTCTACAATCGGAAAATTTCCTTGTCTTTGTGTCACTTTAGTGACAAGATGGTGTCAAGAGGAGACGCCAAGAGGAGTCAAGACCCCCCCCCCCCCTCTCCCTCATACCAAAGTGTCCGCAATCCCGACTTGGCATAGATCGCGCTTTGGCCATGTCAAGGGTATGGCCCATAGGGTGGCGTCTGGCCCTCCACAGCACTGTATTTGCTGTTGGAGGAGGACGTAATGGGGGGAGAGCTAAACCCTAACCTTTTTTTTTAGGATGAAATTACGGGAACCAAATGGTTCGTGGGATTATGGGCTCGCGGGATGACTATGTGCCCCATACATAATGATGGCGCATGCTAAATGGGGACGGGACGCGGACTTTCTTGTGCCTATGATGATAGTCGTTCTAAGGTACTCCATTCCATTGTGAACTCGCTTTTTTTTTGTAACTATGCCGAGCTGGGGCAGAGAGAGTCAACTGAGGGCAAGCATATGCCTATGAAGGCAGTTGTAACGAATTTGAGGCTCTATGCCTTTGATGATTGTACTGAGTCTGAGACTCTGTTCTAATGTAGATTTCCTTTTTTTTTATGGTGTTGTTGATTTTGTACTACGAATGTACTCCCTTCTGGTTGTGGGGGTGGTTTTGAGATGTAAAGACGGCATGGAGTCCAGCAGTCTCGTAGCTGGGTCTGGTCTGTAGAATCAAGAGTGGTGGCGGTAGTGACAGATGTGAAGCAGCGCTTTGGGGGGGGGGGATCATCCGGTGAATGAGTGTGCCGCGTGACTCTATTTTTTTTATTTTTTTATTTTTTTATCGCGTGGCGTCCTAACACCTTTCGATAGTCCTCGCGACTATTTTCAACAACGCACTTACTGGAACCTCAAGTTTTTTGAACGATTCATATCATCTTTGTCAATTTGTCGCATGTATGTTTCGACGTTTTATTGTACAAATCTCGAATATTTATTGTTGAGATAACACTTTACTTGATCTTGGCACCGACGACAGATGGAACGGTGCAGTCGCCGTGCTCGGACTTGAGGACGTGGACGACGCCGTCGTCGGACTTCCAGGCGGCGCGGCACTCGGCGGTGGTGTGAAGGCCGGGCTGGATGGTCTCCCAGATCTTCTTCTTGGGGTTCATAACCTCCTCTGGCTTCTCTTCTGCAAACCATTAAGAAGTGAAAGAAAAGGAGAAAGGGAAAAAAATAGTTAGAAGTGTGTTGCAATAGTTAGAGCAAGAATATTTAGAAACGCGATTACATTCGATATTGAAGACCCTGAGCCAAAACGTACCCTTCCAGTCGCCAAAGTAGCACTTGTCACCAGGCTTAGAGCCCTTTGGTGGGTCAACCAACTCGAGCTTTCCAGTATCATCCGTAGCAGCAAGAACCATCGCAAACGACTTGACACCACGCATGGCAGCGGGCTTCAAGTTGCAAACACAGACCAACCAACGGTTCTCCATCTGCTCAATAGGGATATGCTTAACCAATCCAGAAACAACCGTCCGGGGCTCAGCCTCGCCGATATCGACGGTCTCAACGTAGAGAGAGTCGGCGTCGGGGTGCTTCTCAACCTTGAGGATCTTGCCGACGCGGAGGTCGATCTGCCAGGGCTGGGGGGTTGCGGGGCCCACGGGGGCGACGGGGGCCTTGGGAGCCTTGACCTTCTTCTCCTTCTTTTGAGTGTTGAATGCGGGCTTGGCATCTCCCTCAGCAGCAGCAGCGACGGGGGCGGGGGTGGCAGCGGCCTCAACGGCGGGGGCAGCAGCAGCCTCCTTCTTGGCCTTCTTCTCCTCAGCCTTAGCATCCTTCTTGTTCGCCTTCTTGGTCTTCTTCTCATCCTGTCCAACTGCGGGGGCGACAGCCTTCTCCTTGGAAGCGGGTTTAAACTCTGGCAACTCCAAATCAATGGCGACAGGGGCCAAATGTCCCAAAGCACCAGCCTGCTCCTGGATGAGATCAAACCAACGGGTCAAGTTAGCGCGCTTCAACTGCCCATCCCTGGTGGTGGTGCCGACCTGCTCGTGGAGCTTGACGAATGTCCAGAGGTCAGCGTTTGTGATGGTGTGGCCGACAATGTACGTGCGGGTCTCGAGGTGGTCGTTCAAGGCCTGTTCGAAATCATTCCAAAAAAAAGGGTACGAGTCGAGAGGTATGTGTTTTGTGGACGTTAGTGGGATTTCTTATTTTTATGTGTGGTTTGAATGCAGGATGAGTCAGAAGGACAAGCAGCTGGAGGCGTATTTTTGTTGCAAGGTCGTGTGTTGCGCGTGTGATGTGGTGATTTGGGTTTACCTTGGCGAGGGGGGTGATGTCTTTCTCGAAGCGCTCGATCCACTCCTTGACCTAAAAGAAAAAGTTGAAAATTACCGGTAGGCGCAAAGAAACGGGATGCGTGAGAAAACAAAAAGTCCATGCTGCACAATATGTTCACCCAGGAGAAAGCACCAAGGATCCAAGATCCTGGTTCCCATGTCCAAGGAAATACGAAAACTGGTATCCAGATATCGCATTTGTCCATTATCCAATTTGCCCATGGGTACTATCCAGACATGACCCTTGTTCCCGGAATGGTCTCTTGACTGCGTCTTCCACGTCCTACGCGCTTCCAGACCTCCAGAACGGCGTTCGTTGCGGGCTTTGTGTGCTTTCTTTGTTTTACCTCCTTGCAGTCGCTATCGGTCTTTCCTTGAAGGATTTCAGGGCCTCCGAGAGGGCCCTGGCAGGCGTTGATGAATGAGGTGACGGCAGAATCGGACATGGTGTTAGTTGTTGGTGTTCTAAAGGTTGAATGGATGAACGAATGCCATGCGCACACCTTACATTTTGTTCGTTTTCAAACAACGAAAGAAAATATAAGCCACCGTAGGCGACGCGATCGCAAATCTTGCGTTGATGAAAAAGGGGAGTGACTTGCAAGCTAAAAAATTATTTGGTGGCGAAGAGCTGAGCAGTAGGAATGCAGGCTGATGGCGCAAAATCCAGGCTCTCTCATTGAACGTCAAGGAACCTTGGGGGAGATGTACAGTACTTGCTCAAATTGGAAGGAAATGGGTCCAGAGGCAAAAAAGGAATAATGAACATTGAATAGGTGAAGAAGAGAAGGAAAATGGTAATCTGCTACTGGATTGTTGTAACCAAGAAGAAACCTATGCGAACGTGGAAAGGACAAAACGTAAAGAAGACGATTGGACTATGTGCGGGTGTGTGCTTGACCTCCCAACAAGTAATGTTATTAGTTGTTGTTGTCCACAACCTCAATTTTCAATCCAAATGACGGATAAGAAAACTTGTGTCGCCAAATAACAACATATGCAAACGTGAGCTAGGGATGAAGAATGGCGAAACGGAAAACTCCTAGTACTGGTGCGACGGTGCCCCTCTTTTTTTACTTTTTCTTTCTTTCTCTTTCTATTTTTCCACGCTTTAGCTTAGTACCCTGTCCGCTCTACCTTTCCTTGCTTGCCTCTCTTGATTCTTCTACTCAGACTACCAACGCAACTACTTCGCAACTAATCTCTCCGCTTTGGTCATCCGGCTCCGACATATGCCTTTTTTCTCTGGAAAAAAAAAAAAAAACTCCTGATACAGAACTGTAGTAAGTTCGTTACCCCAGGATCCGCCTTTTTTGGCCATTGAACCCTGCTGGCTGGTCAGGGTTCCCATTTTTTTTAATTGATTACCTCTTGTACTTGCCTCCGCCGTTTGTCGAATGGTATGTTCTAGCGTGTTTAATTGAAACCTATCCTCTATCATAATATAATACACAACCATTGGCTGTGGCTCAAGTAGAACTAATTCTTTTTGAGAAGGAAATGTGGTTGGATGGATGTTGTTCTTGTTGTTATGCTTCAGCGGATGCAAGAACTTCTTTGTGTCCTACATCCCAATATACATACCTATGGAAACATGAACCCACATATCTATATCCCTACCAGATAAACCGACGCTTTTTCTCCTCAGTTGCTTCTTCCGTTGTTTGAACCGAAAATGATCAACTGTTAAAATCACAAAACGGCTGTACAACGGCTTGAGATGTTATGAAGAGTACAACCTTTGGACGTTTGAGTGAACAATGGGCGACAATCGAATTGTTGTGGTCATGAGAAAAATTAGGAGCAAATGATCGTTGTTTTAAGCAAAAAGGCCACATCCTGCTATTAGTACTCACTTTCATTTTGAGCCGAGCGGCCAATCTTTCTTCCTAACACAAGTCAGTGTATATGCGTGCAGGAAGGATTGGCACTTGGTACAAAACCGCACGCTAAATAAATGGGCGTGGTAAGTGTCCTACAAGCAGTCTTGATTAGATTTTGCAGCTCAGACTCTCCAAGGACGCAAATACCTCCAGACGTTTTTTTTCTGTTTCTTTTTCTTAATGGCATTAGAAAGCAAGGAAAAGGAACAATATTTCTTGCTTGACTTGCATTGTTTCTATGTTGGGAGACAACCAACAGCTGTTTCCCCTCTCGCTCTCACTAATTTGACGACAACTATGCCTAAGCGGCCAACAGAAATCATAACCACCTTCTCATCCACATAACTCGATTGCTTTCAACTCTTTTTCTTCTGCTTTTGCTTTTGGTATTGTGGTTTGTTACGCGCTACGGTCAAACTGCTTCAAAAAAAACTTCTCTCTTCATGGCTAATGTGAAATGAATCCCATTATTTATCAGATTGAAAAAGGAAGATCCTGATCAGACATCATCTTGTATTGGCTTCAAGAGATCCAACACCCTTCACTTGTTCTTTCTTCCCCATCTTCAACTCCTAGAGTAACATTTCCGCCGCTTTGTTTGACCGATGGCCGATTAGATGCTGCAAGACCATGGGACTTGGCTGGCATTGAATTTTTTCTTTAACAAGAAGCCAACACTTCTTCTAAACCCCGCCGGCCCCTTCGCTTTCGTCGCTGAAATAAAAAAATGAGTGGTCAATCGGTCATAGCGCGACAATGTCAAAAATCATTTGTACCGTACATGTTGATGTACACCGCAATCTGTACCCTCCTTCCTTCCTTCGTTCCTTCCATCTCTCTTTTTTCTCCCTTCCAACTGTCGAGATCAGACAAGGCGGTGTTGGTGGGTATTCGCTAGCTGAGCTGTTTCGCTGATTATTTGTGTTGTTTTCATCTAGCTCTCTGGGAGTACCTTTGGGGGTAAGTCAGTCGAATCAGAGAGCTGTCATTTCTGCTCTCAAAAAAAAAAGTTGGCGCCCCTCGTCCTTCGCTCCTACACTCTCTCTCTCACACACATGCTCTCGGTTAGCTCGGCTGGGTACAAAAGACAGTGGGGTAAAAATACGTGAAGTTAGAGGAGTCTGGAGTTGGTTTTTTTGGGTAATGTGTAGTAAGGTGGATGTCGGAGCAGAAAATAGAAGCTGGTTGTTGGTTTTTTTTTGGTTGTGCCCGTTTGTTATCAGTTGTGCTCATTGGACGTGTACATGCAGAGGCTAAAAGTAAAGAAATGAAACAAGGCGATCGCTGGCCGAGGGTGGAGGGGGGTTTTGACATTGTCTTTCATTCCTGCAGCGAAGCGCCTTCGGGTTAGAATGTGGAAAAAGAAGGTAAGAAAAGAAGCTATGCTGTCCATGTGTGCACATTCCTTAAAATCCGTGCAATGAGAACAAGTGTATGTCGCTACGATGGTTTGCTTCGTCTCTTTGGCTAAAGCTACAACCCAAATCAAACGAAAAGGGGGAGGTGTTGAACAGTATTCTGCAACAGTGTAGGATATCACGGCCGGCCGAGAAAATAAAAGAAAAGAAGAGCAAGAGAGTCGAACACAAAAAGGAAAAGAGTGATCGAACAATGGCACCTGAACTTGAACCTGATCCTGAATCTGAACGCGTGTAAAGAAAAGGGTGTGTGTAACACATAGAGCTCATCTCAGTTTTTGGTTTTGTTTCATTGGAGTCATGTGTTAAGGATGTAGCGTAAGATCAGAAGAAAGAGAGACGCATAGCGATGACGGAAAGGAGATGGTTGATGGAGAACAGCACTTTGCTGTACATTAATGGGAAGCCCGGGACACAACAGAGCGAGACATGTCGAAGGAAAAGGCGATTCTTTTCCGAGACAGTGTTGTTTGTGGAAAGATGCACAAAAACACAAAAGAATGAGTACCAATGGATCGAAAAAGGGGAGGAGGAAGCATTACAATCAATGGAAGGTGTAGCGAACAAACAAAACATAAATAACCAGAGATCGGCCTTGTCAAGGAACCGCCTTATTCAATAGCACCGTTGTTGTGAAGAAGCAGTGGGGGAGAGAGAAGACATCTCGCATTCATCGTGATCATCATCACCATCATCATCATCTTTGTCAATCGTTGCCTACTCTTCGCCGTACTCGCCCAGTCATTCATTCCTTTTTCTTTCTTTCTTTCTTTCCTTCCTTCCTTCTTTCCTTCCTTCCTTCCTTCCTTCACCGTTCCCCCCTCCCTCTCGCTCGTACCTTTTCTCTCCTCTTTGTCTTCCACTCACTCTCTCGCCCAGTTCTCCCCCCCCCCCCCACCCTTTCCTCTCCCCCTCTTCCATTCGCAACCAACTCGCTCCTCTTCCTTTGTGCGCCTGCACGCCTAAACAACTCGGCTCGCACACATCTATTGCTTTCCAAAATTTTGCGATCATTCTCTCTCATTGTTCACCACCCCTATTTCCTTGTTTACTTTACAGTCGTCTTTATCCTTGGCTTCTCGTACCCCTGCTTCAACTTCCTTCTATCCCAGTCCTGCAATATCACAATCACCCAGTTTATCTCCCGTCTCCACTGTCGACCTACCCGACCATCTGCCCCATCATCCACATATCTACCCCTCTTTCTCTCTCTCTCTCTCTCTCTCTTTTCACCTACTCTACTCTACTCTTGCTCCTTCCGCCCTTTTGTCACCCTTCTTCGTCACTCATTTCACACAGTCTTCTTTTACTCTAACTGATTGACAATCGACCTTCTCCTGCACGCCCATCTATCCCTCTCACAGGTAACCACATCATTCTTTTTTGACTATTTTGGCATACCGATCATCCTCTTTCACCCATTCCTTCATTCGATATATCCTTCTATTCTTTCTTGCTCCCTTCGTCAAATCTCGCCCGCTTGCCCTCCTTTTTTTATTTTTGCGTCTTTACTCGGTTGCTCCAATAGACGCGACCTGAACCCCTGCAGGGACACAAATCGTTTTCATCGTGTTCGTAATTAAAACCATGTACCATTTCTCCCCATTCTTGTACTCTCCACCCATGCATGCAGCATGGTCACATTCGACAGCGCTCTTTCCTTTCTCCCTCCTTTACACTTTTTGGGGGTTCTCAATCCAAACAATCGCATCTCGGTCAAGGATACAGTAGACAACCGCCACCCTTCACCACACCACACCCCAGTACAACAACAACCGTGTAACCAAACAATTACACGGTTATCATTGACACCCCACACCTCAAACACACATGGACACATGTTCCCAAACTCCCCATTCCTTTTGATGCCTTTTGTTTTAACATTCCGTCTTAATCGCATCGATCCTTGTACTCTTCATATTTCGTAGATCGCACCCTTGTTTCTCAAGGCAAAGACGCTTTCAGTGCAACCGTAAGGTACGTACATATCCATTGCATTGCATTGCTTGATGCATGGATAAGAGAAGTGCTATCGATTTGTATAACACTGTACAATGCTCAGGACACATGAGCTTAACATATGGGCCTTTCCCATCCGGAGACATCGCTCGAATCGTTTGGGGTTATAAATGTCCCTCCTTTCTC